TCACAACGTCCTTGTACCCATATCAGCCACATCCGCCTTGTATCAGGAACTGCGTGTTCCCCAACGATCCTCGATCTGCGATCTTCGATCTTGATCCATGATCTTTGATCTGTGACCCTCGATCTATGTTTCCGCTCTTCGATCTTCAACCTTCGATCTTCGGTCTGGATCTCTGCCTCAGTCCTTCAACTTTCGATCTTCGGCCCTCGAGCTAGGTGTCCCTTTCGATCTTCGGTGTAGATCGAGCATGGGTCGAGGCTGACACCTTTGGTCTGCTTCGTGTACTTCACACCAGATTTGCCTAGCCGTGAGACATGTTGCCGTAGATTCCTCAAGCCCTGTCCCAGACCTCAGTCGCCGATCAAGACCCATCAATCGCAATTTCTTCGACCTCGCTTCACCACACGGACAACGTTGAAGTTGCCGCACGTCCGCCGAGCACTGACGCTACGAAGAGCCACGCATAGTCTGGAACTGATGCGAACACAAGGTGCGTGTCTGTTTAGGGCACAGACGCAAACAAGGTCAACGAGCTGAACCCGGGGGTCAGCTCTCCAGTGTTGGACTTTATCCAAGACGCGATTTTTTGCTTCTCAGAAAGACAGAAGCCACTTGTCAACCCAGGGTTGACCATATGAAGAGCCCCCGACGTCGCCGGCTGATACATAGTTCTGTTCGTGGCACGTTCCAACGGGATGCCGCCGTCGGTCGCTTGAACCGACGAGCCTTCGAAGCCAGTCGACGGACATACTGTCTTGGCATCCTCAGCGCGCTTCTTCTCCTGGAGCTCAAATTTCTTGTCAACAGAGAAGTTCTCTGTCGTTCCACTTGGGGGTGTCGGCGTTGCCGCCGGCACAGGCGCGGAAGTAAGCACCGACACGGAGGTCGGTACGGACGCAGGATCAGACGCAGGCGTCGACACTGAGGTCGACGCGGATACTGGCGAAGACGCTGGTGTTTGCAATGGCGCGCTCATTGCGAAATGAGCGCGAAGTTCTCAAGGAGACTTGACGGTCTCGTCAAGGCTTGTTTTGACGTGTTGTGACCAGCACTTCAAATCTTAACCGGGGGGACGGGGTTACACGAAACTCTAACCGTAACGTAAACCGGTTCGAGTTAGAGGCTTTCTCGTCTTGGTGTAGACACACCAAGACTGCGTTTGAAAGAGATTCTATTGGTAGAGTGCGCCACACGTCTACCAATCAGTGATGCGGATCACTGTCAGCCACCCGCTAACAGCCCCTTTGGTTTACGGTACCTGTTTAGGAAGGAAAGCCTCCTTAAAGGAAAACAATGCAGTTCTCATTTTACGCTATCGCGCTCTTTTCTTGTCTTATCGTACACTTGCGTCGTGTGTACGCTATACAATCTAGGAACACCTACGCTTCCTTCTACACGTGCGCACACGTGTAATCTAACTAGTGAGCCTTAGGCCCACTACACGTACCCACACTTCAGCCACAAGCGAGCGCCAAGACGAACAGAAAGAAGGACCACTGTGAAAGTAAATCATCCAATGAAAACAGCTAATTTGAACGCAGCTTTAGTGAGGACAAGGGCGTGATGACGTCCAAGCGACGATGATTGCCTCCACGACGAATGCAACATCCATGGATGCTCTCGTTGATAGCGATTGCACTATCGTAAGTGATAAGGAAGACATATGGTTGACTACCGCGGGCACCCGAGAGAGAGGACCTGACGTTGCCAGCGGCGCAGATAGTAAGCTGAAGCAATTCCATTTTACGATGGAGAATGGTTTGGACTTAGTGAGGGACGTGCTCAATGTTCGACCGTATGCCAAACATGGAACCGTTGCCGCGCATTGTCAAGATGTAGCAGATCATGTGAACGAGCACTGAGAGACAGAGTCGGCGATGCGTACCATCAAGGCGGCCACGCCGGCCGTGGTCTTGCAGAGGTTGCTATACTGCACCTTTCAGACAGCGGCACTTGAGGCCCGATTCTGGAGACTTCGTTCTGTTTGTTTGAGAATTGAAGTCCAATGAGATCGAATCTCGCTAGAGGACAGGAGCTGCAAAAGACTACACAGAGATCAAGCAGTGGTTACAAGATATCACAAAGACGATGCGGGACGTTGTGGCGTCGAAGACGAAGCGGAAAGCTGACAAGAAAACCAAAGATGATCGACTTGTACCGGCTGATGACAGACTTCGCAAACACCCGACCAAGCGTCGCTGGCGGTGGGCATCTTCCGGTGGAACTACTGGAAGCACGCATGGTGTAAGTGTTACAGGGAACACAGATTTGGAGGGTGATGATGAGACGACAACCGTCAAAGGTGCTAATGCTCATCTAATAGTGCCAATGGAACGAATGGCGGCGGTATCACCACAAATTGGGTCAATGATGAAACAGTTGATTTTATAGATAGACAGAGCAAACGACACAACGAAAAGTACGAACGCTTGTGTGAACCCCTCAGTTTAAAGTGAACTAAGACAAACAAGGAGGAATACTCAGAGGAAGGGAGAGCATGAGTTGCACAAACGTGAAGTGGATGAGAACTCTAAGAGATGGAACGAATGGAAGCCTATCCGTCGCAGTGAAACAGATTTACGCAGTGAAGATATGGCGATAACACCAATTGAGAATATAGTTTCTCCTAATTACAAATTTCCCAGCGAACGTTAGAATCCCGAATTCGGCTCGTGCCTGATGAAACAACTACATTTATTGATTTGGTAAACCTTGGCTTAACTAGTAACACACTTCTTGTTAAGTTGTGCATAGGCGTGATGCAATATATTCCTCGCATGTTGGCGGATTACAGCAAAATACTTATTGTTGCCACCACGAATAAATCGTCAAGCAGGCCGTGAAAGCTACATCTAGCTTGTAAAGCATTTTTCGGTATATGTGGTTACGACTCGTTGATGCCGTTTATAGTCCAAGCACGAGAAGTACTTGGCGATCCATCCGTACGACCACTCCACAGACACTCTAGTTGCTCTCATCGATTGATTGAGTTCTTTCAGGGTTGCATGGACTCTGTACCCTTTGTACGGACAGCAGAACACGTTCGTGCACCCGTAAGCCGGACCACCATAGATCAATTTGACATGAAGTGGTAGATTGCCCTCAAGTTCGCCATTCAAACAACTCTCATTCTACATAAAGATGCCATGCCGTCAGTCATCAACCGGACTACATAAATGTGAAATGAGACCATCAGGTGTGACGATTGGCTGGAATTTCAACGGGTGGGTGCTCTTGCGGCAATTATACATTGCTTGTTGCTCTTTATTTAGGCGATAAATTGGCGTCAATGAAGCCCCAAACTCCCTTGATACTTCCCAGTTCTTTTATTGTAATTTGCTGAGAAGTACTTGTCCAAGTTCTTGACAGTTCTGTTCACGTTGAAGTACAACATTTTACCTAGCTCATCACTGAGAAATTATACTACGTAGTAGAACTGTGGCAGAGCGTTGATGGGGGCTGCCACGTCGATCTATCGCTCGAAAACAGAAGTCGACGGAGACATACACTAACTGCCGTTATCGCATTGCTTCGAATCCTTCACGGGTGCAAATCACTTTCAGGCCAGAAGGGCGGACCATTGCCCTAGACGACCTTGTAGTCCTGCCGACTTGAACAGCCAAGTGAGCGTGGAATGTCTCATCAGGACCCGGATCTCCCGTCCCACCCACAAGTTGTAGAAGAGGCCCACGATCCTCAGCAGCGCCAACACTTCCTTTTCTGTCACGTTGTAATTCAACTCGTTTGTCTTTAGCGTACATCTGGCGAATGCAATAGGATGGTGGATTCCATCGTGTTCTTGCATGAGTGAGGCAGAAATTCCCAAGTCACTGGCATATACAATTACCACCGGCGATTTCGTCTCGTCGAAGTGGCGGAGGATCGGCGTTGTCGCGATCTTAGTCTTCAGAGTTGCGAACGCCTTATGAGCCCTGATCCATCTCTCATCGAACGGTATCACAGACTGGGGTCCCGGTGGGTCGCTATCAGACGCGGTAGGGTCATTCTGGTCTATGACCTTCCTCAGATCCGATCACCTCTTCAGTTCCGCGAACTCTACCTCGCGTAGCTCATATACAACTGAGGTATACATGGCGTAGTCCTCAATGAACCGGCCGTAAGAATTCTGACTCCCCAAGAACGACTGCATGGATCTAAGTGACCCGGGGAATGGTAGATCGGTTAGCTATTTCAACTCCTCTGGATTTGCCTCTAGCCCTTCGGTCGATACCCGATGCCCCAGATAGTCTACCTTACTCATACCCCAGAAGCTCTTTCTGACACTGATCGATAAATTCCACTTTTCATACGCTTCCAGCAGATCTTCCACCGTTTGGCACATTTGACCCCACGATTCCGTGGCAACCATGATGTCGTCAATGTATGATCTACGTTCAAACACCGATGGGCGATCAGGATCGTCAGCGGGCCCTGCCTGGAACACGTCCATTGTGCTTCCTAGGTCGCCTGATCGCGAGATCTTCAGAAACCCATATAGCACATTGTCCACGAGGCGTTGATACATCTGGGGAGCATGGTTTAGTCCGAAGGGCATGTGGTTCCACTCGGATAGGCCGGTCGGGGTGATAAATTCCGAAATCTCGCGGGCTCAATCC